CGATGTGTTTAATTGTATGTATCACACTAATGTATGTGCATTAAAAAATGTGTTTTGTTTACACAAATGGTGTGAAGAGAATAAATTTTTTTAAACTAATTTCTGTCTTTCCTTTTCCTACATAACTACCTACTAATGATATCAGAGATTTTTACCTATATTAAAACCTACCTAGGTATACTCATCTTCTGCACCTCATGAAACTACCACACTGGTATATTTCAATTTATTGTTTTAAGAGTTTTACTATTAACTCTTTCTGAAAGCTAATAACTATCCTATTATCTAATGTAGTTTCCATAACTAAGATTCAGCAGCTTCCATTACATTGTTAAAGGATACGAAATATAAATTCTTATCAAAGGATAAGATTTTTGTGAAGACAAACGTGAAGCTATGCACTAAACTCTCCATTGATCTAGTTTGATCGTTCAACATAATCAAAGTTTTAGTTTTCAGTCAAGGTGAAACGGTGACATCTCTAAATTCTGAATAATTAATATTAATTTATCATTAATTATAGCAGAAGTTTTAGTTTTCAAACTATATAATTACTCATAGTATGCATAGATCAGCTCATAGGTTCACTTAGTTGTCTTAAAAGTTTTACTATTACGTTCATTGAAAGCTTAGAACTACTAAGGTACTAGGGTATACACTAATCTAGTTTGTGAGTGTGATAATAGGGAATTGGGTTCTCTGGATCGCGGTCGTTCAACATAATCGAAGTTTTAGTTTTCAGTCTAGGTGAATCAGTCAACTCGTTGCGCACTTAAGAGGCGCTGTAAAGCGCCTCTCGAGAGCGCTCTATAGTTGAACGATTCACTTAGACTGAAAACTAAAACTCCGATTATGTTGAACGACCGTGAGCCAGAGAACCCAATTCCCTACTACTTATTTAGTATTAGAGGCCGGTAGATCAATTCTCATAAATAAAACACTGGATACTTAACTTTTACATTATAGTGCCTGATATTCATCACTTAGCATAAAAGCGCGCGGAGTCATCCGCGTGCGGCGTCATCCGCGTGCGGCGTCATCCGCGTGCGGCGTCGCTCTATTCTGACGTTCCTAGTGTGACATTGACATTACGTCAATGTCACTATGACAGCAGCTCATTGGCTATAACGATACCGAGCGATAGGTAGATATAAAGCTAGGTTTTCCTATCCAGTATTTTTACTGAAAACTATGTACTGAAACACTTACGTCTACTAAAGGCTGTATAGCTTATGCCTTTGCCTCATTTGATTCAAACCCAACGGCATTTGATTCAAAGAGGTAGATAAACATTTTTAATGATTTTCGATACAAAAAATTTGGACGTTCCAAATTCAAACCACGTATTGTCCTAATGCCCTTTGGTCAATGCATACATATTGCCATCCTTTATGTATGCGATTAATCGCAAATACACACATTATGCACATAAAGCCCTCGTGTGGTTTATGTTTGCTTTGTATGCCATAATAGGCCATTGTCGAGCAGTAGGATGAAAATGTTAATTTAATAACGTAAAGATTAGCAATAATCAATTTAAAATACCAACCTTTTATTTGGTTTAACCACCTTAAAGACATAGTTTTGTGTAAAAAGTTACCTACTAGTACTTGTAATACAGTAACACCAACTGGTTCAGATTGAAAGAATTACTTATTGTTTTTCTAACTAAGAATAGATAGGTCCCTTAATTTATTGCTTCAGTTTAAACCAAACTTGTAGGTGTCTTGACAAGTTCATTAAATATCGCATCTTCGCCTAAGGCTTAAGAAGATCAAAATACTTATCCCATTAAGGTTTCAAAAACTTTGTAACAAAGTTTATATTATATTATTATCATATTTGAGTGATGGGCTAATCCCCTTTTGTTATGAAGAAGTGGTAGGGTAAAAATATGATACTGGCACGCGAAAAAGCATTATAAAAAAGGAAAGAGAAAAACTTGCAAAAAATGACTTTTATGACTTTACCTAGCTTGTAAAACTATTTTCACATCATTTAAGACTAGAGAATTACGAAGACGAATTCAATGTCAATCACCATTATTTTATCATCAGGTGCGATTGAAGTCAAATACCTGCCTTTTTCTGCATAAAAAAATACAGATTTATCGCTATAGTGTAAGTAGAGAAAATAATTTCTTCAAAATACTTATTGGAATCGCAGTTATTTATGTTTTCTTTCTAATAGAATAAATTTTGTCAAAGGATATTAAATGCCTACAATTTAAACGGTAACGGATGTCCAAAACATATACTTACCCATCTGAGGGAGGTTTTTTTTTTTTTCGAATATACTTACTTAAATGACCGCCACTAGTCTTGCTAACATAAAGTAGATATTCAATTTGTAAATGAAGTTCTAAATAGTTATAATTAGAGTTCATTGTGTAATTAATATTTAACGGCTAAAGTGCAGTTCGGTGTCTCATTTACATTTCAAAGTCGTTGTTGAAAGCGCTTCTCTAGGTATTAATTATTTAATGATGGTCGACTGTATCTAGAAATTCAGTACCTACAAAAGAACAGAAAACGACCGACCAGGTCGTTTCATCCACGAAGACGCGCCCCACCATTATTCCGCTAATGTTTGAGTGTTATCGGTATACGCTAATCATCCATGAGTGCACACGCACACTACAATAATGACGCTCGGATTGCTCGGATCAAACTCCCCGCACCCCGCGCTTCCCTCGACCAAAAATTGGTGGGGCGCGTCTTCGTGGATGAAACTAAAAGAGGTACAAATTACCCAATGAAGTAGTTATTTTTGTAATAATAGCACAGAGAACATCATATCCAATTAAATTATAGGTTATTCGGAATATAATCTACCTGTTTGATTAAATTGTATGAATGACCAATTACTTTTTTCAACATAAAAACCATACACCAGTCCCCTATACCACAAGCATCAAACATACACTTACCTTATGAATGGAGCCCCATATAAACACCATCGCTTACCGGCTACCGCATTAACCTTCTCTCTGAAGTTTTGTCTTTCGATCTCAAAATAGTGCCTTTAGACAGTGTGACATTCATTTTCGATTGACATAGTCACGGTACATAATGGATTTTTAATGTTACCAAGTATACAGTAGATATGTTGTGCACTATTGTTATGTGCATGTACACGTACACACACAAGTAAAGCTCACTCACCTTTGTGAGTTGCAAGAACTATAGCAAACTAATAATTGTACAGACACCAGCATGTTGCTAAACACTGGGGTCTTATGACGGTGTAATAGGGTTGAGTTTGCGATAAAATGTTCTTTATGAGGTGAATGCCATAATGTCTAAAGGCACTAATCTCTTTCAGCACGGATTATTTTAATTAAATACTTACTTTAAGTTGACGAATGGCAAGTCTGCAGTGTTAGGCTGAGTTGCACCACCTAACTTTGACGGTAACTTCGGTAAACGGTGCTTTTTGTATGGAGTTTGACAGATTTTTGTTAAATTTAAAGTAAGATGGTGCAACCCAGCTTTAGATTTACTCAAACTATACATAGAGTGTTGGGTACCAGCTGAGATATTTTATGTTTTGTATCCTTAAAAATATAACAAAGAGAAAAATAAAGAATTTAATATTTGAAATATTCTTCATCACTCTAAAAGTTTTCGCTCGTAAAAATGTCTTTGGCGTAAAGATATCCCGAGTTCAAGTCCCAATAGAGTTAATAAATAAAGAAAACTCTCTCTTGCTAGAATAAAGGTCATAGCAGACTTATCAACTCGGAAAGGGATCAACAACGCGAGCTGTCATCGCCTTTCGTGCGCTATCAACCGCGAAGCGAGGTGTTTACGTTACGGTGCGGATAATCATGCGTTGCAGTTAGGAGTTTCATACAAAGAATACTGACCGCCTCAAGTTGATACGGTTACGATCCCTTTCCTAAGATGCGCGCCACGATAAGCGGTTATCACGCCATTTTATCGATTTTGCCCATACATTTTGACGTCGATAAAAGTTATCACGGCGCGCGTCTTAGGCTAGCTGGTTCATAAGTGTGCTACGGCCTTTAGACTGTTACTGAACGTCTTGAGAATAATAAAATTACCCTTTTATACAAGTAAGGCGTTGTTTAGACAGCGATAATCGCGTCTCCCCTGAGAAAATCTCATTTACATGCTGTTAAGGACTGTAATAATGCTGTTATCTCTAGGCGTTTTAAATAAATGCTGATCAGGGAATAGAGTTTAAAAGAGCTGGAAAATCAGTTTGCATATCGAGTGGACTACCTATCGATTAATCGATCGATTTTATAATTATCTTTAACACGAATGGTCTAAACAAGGCAGAAGTCTTTACGATTTACGAAAGAAGTTTTTTATTTTTGATTATCACGTAGAACTTATCTTGGCAAGTTTGCTTCGACTTCACGAAATGAAGTTCATGTTAGATATCAAAATATATCATTTGGTACCCATACACTCTACAGTAGAAGCAATATAGAAATAATAGGTGAGATACAGGCCAAGAGCTTCCTTGTTGTGGATAAAAAAATAATAATATAGGAACTTACTTTCGCAGAAGAACGCCAACTCTTTAAATCTGACTGGCCTAACTCGCACCATCATGTAGAACTCACCTTGGCAAGACCATTTCTATTTGACGAAGTGAAGCGTGAGAAAATTAGTAGGTACCCACACATAAGAATTTTCAAATACTTACTGTCGAAACAGATCTATCAAGAAGTACGCCAAATCCTTGAACCCGACGGGGCCCGCTCGCACCATCATGTAGAACACTTTGGAAAGTTCACTTCAATTTCACGAAGTGAAACGCGAGAAAATAGTTCCTAAACACAAGCGTATCTTCAAATACTTACTGTCGAAACAGATCTATCAAGAAGTACGCCAAATCCTTGAACCCGACGGGGCCCGCTCGCACCATCATGTACAAACAACTCACCTTGGCAAGTCCACTTCTATTTGACGAAGTGAAACGTGAGAAAATAGTTCCTAAACACAAGCGTATCTTCAAATACTTACTGTCGAAACAGATCTATCAAGAAGTACGCCAAATCCTTGAATCCGACTGGGCCTGCTCGCACCATCATGTAGAACTCGTCTAGGCACGTCTGCTTCTGTTTCACGAAGTCGAACGTGAACCCGCCAGTCGTGATCAGTGGCGTGCCAGTGCTGCCAAGGAACTTTGTGATTCTGGCGACCGAGGCTGTGGACAAAGATTTCAAATTAGATATTGAATATTTTTATAACTTGTACATGTTGTATTATTATGGTTGCGTCTTTGAGTCTTTTAAGTGTCTTTTATGAGTCTTTTAAGACTAAATTATGTCTATTTTTAATGCTAAAACTGTTTGGCATTTCTGTGAGTTATTCAGTAATAAAAAAATTAAGACCTTATTATAATAAAACACTAGTTTTTAGTTGGAAAACCAAGGTAAAATATTAATATTAAACGAGTAGCGTTTTATATTATTCTCTTTTCATGAAAACATGTTTTTACAACGACTGTTTTCACGATAAAGATTTATTACAATATCAGTGACTCAAACATTTTGCGTAAAGTTTTAATTTATTTCTTAAAATGTATTAAATATGGACTAAAAAGAAAAGCGCGCAGTATAAAGTAAATTGAAAAAGATACGTTTCGATAATATGCTTCGCATCTTAATAAAGATCTTTGACTTCTACAAATAAAGGAATATCAAATTAAACATTGTAAGTACTGCATAATAAAGGTATAGACTAGAGTACTAGAGCATTTCTATGTAATGTAAAGGTGGCGGTTCGCATCGCGACAGTGACAGGAGACCGAGACGCGAGACCGAGACGGGAGACCGCGAATGTTACTTGACTTTAGACAATGTATAAGCGACAGTTCGCAAGCGAGACAGAGACACATGTCTCTGCCTTAGTCAAGTAACGGTCGCGGTCTCCCGCCTCGGTCTCGTGTCTCGGTCTCCTGTCTCTGTCGCGGTGCGAACCGCCACCTTAACGTTCTTGCGAATGGTACAATACGTTTGGTTCGTGACTGAGTGACACGCTAAATATTTCATAGAGCGGCTTGTCGTTGTTCTGTTATACTTCAACCACACCAACGCGTACAGATGGTAACGCCGGCGCGATCAAAGGCCAATGACAGGTCGCGCGACCCATGACAGTTCACCGGACCTGTCATTTCTTTATTATCGCGCCGTAATCGCGCCGGCGATGGCGATCTGCACGCGTTGGTGTGGTTGAAGCTTTAGAATTAAATGCTCTAGCTAGTCTATACTCACCTTTAATTATGTTCGAAGTACCTGCGCTGTAGTAATCAAGTCTGGTTTATATTTTCAGTCGATATTAATAATTTAGTAGGTAAATTTAACCAACGCCTTCTGAGTTTGCTGTCGAACTTATCGAAAATTAAATTAAGCTCTAAAGTTTCTCTACCCTGAACTTCACGCAGTCTTATTATTCATTCAGAAGTTCCTTTAGTGGTTAATCCCTGAATATTTAGGTATTGGTTTTAGTAGCTTGACATTTGATATAGGTGTGGTGAGAAAACTTGATAATAGGGGGAAGAAACTACTAGGTCACAGAATAAGTAATAGTACAGGTACAGAAGGATTACTCCGCAAGACGATTTAAATAAATGCGAGTCTTGCTACGACGCGATACAGTGGAATTCAGCTCGCACAGCACTACGTACCTACAATTTTATTCACCTACAAGTTTTGTCTCTTTCTATCGCGTGCCTCTGAACTCTTCTTACGCTGTTAGGGTTGCTGTCTAGTGAAAAAATAATTAATCTACTTATTTGTAATGAGGTACGTATGTAGGTAAGTATGCATTCATTATGGAAATCCTTCATAGTAGGTTAGGTTCCTATACTATCCTAAGAATTATTGATTACCTACATGGCCAACATACCTTTCAGCATCTTTGGAAAGCGAAAAAAAAAAGATAAATCCGGTAGATTACTTTTCGTTTAAACACCCGAACGCCGCACAATATTTCTTTCTCTTTATGTCCATTTTTAAATAATACTTCGATCATAGAATAATAATCATACTACTACAACGCACGCCACGCGCCAGCGTCCTGACGAGCGCGCGCGTGACACTCGACTGATATAATACCCGCCGGCGGGGCGCTTCGCTGTAGGTAATTATCGGATGTACCGCGCGGAGTGAGCCAGGCCTGACTAGGTACAACGTGCATTTCTTAGCCAACATTTCAAAGTTTTCAGAAGGCATAAGAATTTTAGAACTCAGTAAGTGTGTGCATACTTGTGTGTGTGTGAGTGTGCTTTGCTGAAATTCAATATCCAGATACAATAATAATAATAATAACAAACAATAAGAAAACTTATCAATATCTACATCAGATAAAAGTCAATGCTTACGCTGAAATGATGATGAGGAGGAAATATCGAAACGGCACAGTAATCATAGGAAAATCCTCCATCAATGGTCTTTGTATTATTATTTTATTACATACTTTTGTTTGTAAATAACGTGATAGAAAGTTCAAAGAGGCATAACATCTGTGCTTTCATGAGATTCACGCCTACGTGATCTGTCCAATACTTCAAAAGTCGTAGAGCTCTTTAATGTATTTGTTTGCTAATGTTCTTAACCGCCTCTGTGGTCTAGTGGTAAGACCACCTGCTTCAGAGCCAGAGGTCCCGGGTTCGATTCCCAGTGGGTGCCGATTGTTCTGTTCGGTTTCGTTAGGGCTTATTCAAGTTCGTTTCCCTAGCTACGTTTATCGCCATTACAACAATGTTAACAGCTTTGTTGTGTTCCAACAGTTGCAGGTACGATAGCCAGTTCCTCTGTGGTTGAGGATTCCGGGTGACTCACTTCACCTTCAACCTGATCATCACTTTCCATCAGGTAATAGGTATAACTTTAAAATATCGCTATCGTTAAAGCTTAAAGCCAATGAGCTGCTATCAGAGTGACATTGACATTTACTGACTAGAAACGTCAGAATACAGGGACTTTAGCCTAAGGGCCTTGCCACACTGGTGGAATACAAGCATTGTAAGTGATTAATTCTATTTAAAATGAGGCAATAATAATATAATGTGCAAGTTAAGTATCCAGTATTTTATTTATAAGAATAGATCTACCGACCTTTAATAAAATACTTAATATTATACTATGATAGTACTTACATAGTATTTTTCTGTGTACCTACAAAGGAGTCCTGTGTACATAGATGAATGCCCCTGATTCCTTCCCCAAAGGAATGATAACGTAATTTGCGAATTCAAAAGGCAGACCATCTGCGCTATTGTGAGAGTTGCTACGTGATCCGCCCGATAGTTCCGAAGACGTGCTAAAGGAGCACTTTGACTTGAACAACTATTTATAGTAGGTAAACAAACATACAGCGCTATTTTTTGATAAAATCAATAGTACAAAATTCTTCTAATATTCTTCCTACTTCCTACTAATATTATAAATGCGAAAGTTTGTATAGATGTCTGGATGTTAGTTACTCTTTCACGCAAAAACTACCGAACTGATTTTGATGAAACTTGACAGTATTATTGTTTATTACCAAGAATAACATAATAGGCTATAATTTAAGACGATCTGTGACAAACTAAATTTCACGCGGGTGAATCCGCGGGCAAAAGCTAATCTTTGATAAATATTCATCGAAAACAAAGGGCAAATCATAAAAATACGTTCTAATAAGTTCAGACACCTAAAATTGAACACAAATCTACTCTACCTACTTTATACCTACTGTTTGCTTTTGAAAGTTTGCTAGTTTTCAAAATATTTGTGTACTTTATTATGCTAATAATACCTTTAAAGTACATCAGTGTTACTCAAAGGTCGTCTTTTTAGCAAGCTTAGCGGTCATGTCAATTACAGAAACGGCAACTGTTTTTTTTATAAGTGATAGTACATTTTATTTTTCCATTTTCCATTTTGTTTGTCATTACGCGACCTCCTGCATCGTAGTCTAGTACGCGAACCGCTGGGACATGCGCTTGTTATTAGAACCTAACGCACCTATTCACAAACATTACTATGAGGTCTCACAGTGCGCGTGGATGCACAGGGTGACACACGAACCAATCTTAAAGCTCTATTTAACGCTGTGTGTTCGATTTGCTGCTTCACTTAAGCAAGCATCGTTTGTGAATTCGGGTGTTACTCGCTCGTGCTAAAGTTTATAAGCCCCCTTAGAAGACTGATGACGAAGAATCTTTTATTTCCATACACATTGCAGATAACAACAGCTGACAAACGACTTGACCTTTATTGTGATGGTAGTAAAAATCAGAATTAATCTTGAGTGAGGGTGAAAAGATTTTCACGCGCGGACGGTTAGTGTGACGCAGGACCACAGTAAAATAGTAAAGAAAGATCATATGAAAGTTTATAAAACTATGAACACCAAGAAGATCTGAGTATTCTAGGGTTGAAATGGTCATGTAAAGACGACATCACTTCAAGTTAAGTGATGTAGCATCTGTAGTCGATTTAAATACAACACTGCAACTAAAATTTTATTGTGGTTCCAGCGGAGTAAACTAAGGGAGAAATAATGCTAACACTAGCTTTCCGCCCGCGGCTTCGCCCGCGTGAAATTTTGTCTGTCACAGAAAAACTTTACCGCACGCGTCCCTGTTTCAAAAACAGGGATAAAAACTATCCTATGTTCTTTCCCGGGACTCAAACTATCTCTATGCCAAATTTCATCAAAATCGGTTCAGTGGTTTAGGCGTGAAAGCAAGACAGACAGAAAGACAGACAGAGTTACTTTCGAATTTATAATATTAGTATAGATAGTATAGATTAGGTCTCCCCAACCCGTCTAACCAGCAGAGTAGGAGTGTAGGCCGTATCTTACATTTGTCTGTAGTAGTAAATAGAGAGGGTCGTAAATTCGTAATCCTGCACTGGAGTCTGAGGCTGCCATATTCGGATAATTCAAGCTACAAAATACAGTATTTTACGTACACACATAACATGGAACCGCTCGAGCATTTATGACTGCTTTGGGCGGTTGGCAGCACGGTGAAATTTAAATTGACTATGATTCGAAATGGTAGCAGGGAAGCTCCGAAAGCGCTGGACGCAGGCCGCTACCAATCAATCAACATGAAAAGCATTGGGGAGGCCTATGTTCAGCAGTGGATGTCCTATGGCTGAATTGATGATGATGATGATGACTGCAAGAGCAGTCTGTGTATGTTAA